AGTAAAGTAGACTTGGCCACAGTTTATTCAACTGAAAATCTATAGAATACTTAAAAGTAAGAAAAAAAAGGGCAGTGAGAGGGAAAATATTATTCTCCTATTAATGGTGTCAATGGCCTTTGATTTTTTCATCTTAGGAGAAAATAACACCTACCTCAAAGGCTGCATGAGGATAAAGTAGGATAATGGACATGAAAGGACTCTACAAACTTTAAAGCTCTACACAAACATAAGAAAACAATAGTAGAAACAGCTCCTGACCCATAACATTCAAAGGAAACAGCTTGGCTAGAGTCAACCCACAGTGCAGAGGCAGTTTCTGATTTCAAACAACAAATTAAAACACCACAAAAGGTAATACTATGTATTTTAGTACGTTAGTTTTCTGTTAGGTATTGGCAACATTGCTCCATAAATCTTAAATCCACTTTAGATAAAATTTCATTTTTAAAAGTATTTAGGAAAATTAGTGAAACAAAATAAAATAAAACTTATTTTAATTATGACAAAAAGAAATGTTGTTAAAGGTAACTGGAACTTCAGTTATCAGAAAAAAAAATTAATGAATTCTACAAATCAATGTAAAAATCAGTATCTAGAACATTACTGTGCATGCACTACTTTAAAGGGACAATATCAATATACACATATTCTCTGAACTGGAACACTTTCCAGCTCTTACTAAATTTAAGTAGATATGTATGTATACATATCCAAATATTACTTACAAATAAATTAAAATTTGTTTTCTAGGAAGTATACACAAGACAAATTTGAATAAATTATCCTGCCAGAGGAAAAAAACTAATTTTATTAAAAGATGCAATGAATTTTTTTTTCTGTCTACTGTGCACCAAAACAGATTACCAAAACTCCTCTTTAATTGTGGATTCTGATACAGTAACACAAATGTCAGTTTTTACCAGCCAGAAGAAATAGCATTTGACAGTGTCCTTTTACAGATCAGGTTTTAGGTTAAAAGCACCATGCATATGTAAATGCAAACTTTTACCTTCAATATCATCTGAAAAGGTAGACAAAAATAAGTAAGTGAAAAGTGGGAGACAAAGAAAATAGTTTATGTAGATGTATAAGCATAAGAGCTTTAAAAGATGAAATAAGCAATATAACTGGGAAAGAGGTCACATTTATTTTAGTCAAACATCTGAGATATCATAAAAATATATAGCATAGCCTCTATTTTTAGGACTATGAGATTTATCATTAAAGGGTTATAAAATACTAAGGTAAAGAACTCTAAAACAGAGTTCATTATGTCAGCTAACAATTATCTTTGAATGAAGCAATAAAGATAAAGTATTGGCTGTGTGGTGGCGCAAGTCTTTAATCCTGGAACTCGGGAGGCAGAGGCAAGCAGATCGCTGTGAGTTCAAGGCTAGCCTGGTCTACACAGTGAGTTCCAGGCCAGCTGGGACTACAGAGAGATCCTGTCTCAAAAAGACCCCCCCCCCAAAAAAAAAGTATTGATGATAGAACTGAAGAATACATTTATTAATACGGTTCAAGGCTAGCCTGGTCTACACAGTGAGTTCCAGGCCAGCTGGGACTACGGAGAGATCCTGTCTCAAAAAGACCCCCCCCCCAAAAAAAGTATTGATGATAGAACTGAAGAATACATTTATTAATAATCTGGCTGGGGGTTGTTTTTGTTTTTTAAGACAGGGTCTTTAGCTATGTAGGGGCTACTCTTTATGTAGACCAGGCTGCCTGGATCTCAGAGATCTGCCTGTCTCTTCCTCCTGATTGCTGGAATTAAAGGCATGTACCACCACACCAGGCTTTGTTTCCTGCTTTTTAAATTATTATTTACTTTTATTTTATGTGTGTTTTGCCTGCATGAATGTGTATCACATGTGTACAGTCCCCACAGAGGCCAGAAAAGGGTGTCAGATCCAGTAGAACTAGAGTTATAGAAAGTTGTAAACCATCAGGTGGATGATGGGAACCAAACCCAGGTCCTCTATAAGAGCAGCAAGTTCTCCTAACCACTGAGACATCTCTCCTAGCTCTGATGTCTGGCTTCTTAATATCTAGTTTTTAAACATTTACTCAAAAGTCAGGCATGGTGGTGCATGCCTTTAATCCCAGCATCCCAGCACTAGGGAGGCAGAGACCAGTGCATTTCTATGAGATCAAGGCTAGCCTGGTCTATATAGCAAGTTTCAGGCCAGCTGTGGCTACAGGGATACCCTGTCTCAAACAAAACAAAACAAAAACAAAAACAAAAAAATTTACTCAAATAAGTTTCAAAGAAAATGTTCTAAGAAAATTATTATGCTGTTTATTTAAAAGTTGTTCTCCCAGAGGCAGGCAGATCTCTGTGAGTTCAAGGCCAGCCTGGTGTACATAGTAAGTTCTAGGACAGCTGGGGCTATAGGGAGACCCTGCCTCAAAAAGGACCAAAAAAAAAAAAAAAAAATGTTGTTTTCCCTATTCATCCAAACAACTTTTGAATGCTGAATTAAAAATAAAGAGTACTAGAACCAAGGATTGTGGTATATGCCTGGAAACCTAGCACTCAGGAAGCAGAGGCAAAAATACTGGGAGTTCAAGGCCAGCTTGAGCTATGTGGTAAGTCAAGGTCAGCGTGTACTATACAGTGAAACCCTACCTCAAAAAATTAAAAAATAGATAAATAAACCCCAAATACACAAAAGAAAACAATAAAATAAGACACAGCCAGGGGCTGGAAAGATGGCTAAGTGGCTAAGAACACTGACTGTTCTTGCAGAAGACCCAGGTTCGAATCCCAGCAACCACATGGCAGCTAACAACTGTCCAGAACTCCAGTTCCAGAGGATTCGACAACCTCTTCTGTCCTCCGTGGGCAGTGCACGACACGGGTGCATTTACTTACATGCAGGCAATACACACATACACATAAAATTAAAATAATAAATAAAAATTTAAAAAGACACACGAAAAGGGAAAAAACAAAGCAACAATTACAAAAAAAAAACCAAACAAGATCTAAGGAAGAAAATATTTAAAAAAAATTTTTTTTTTTTTTAGCCAGGTGTGGTAGCACATACCTTTAATCCCAGCTCTCTCTGTGATCTCTGGTCTACATAGTGAGTTCCAGGACAGCTGGGGCTACAGGGAGACCCTGTCTCAAAATGACCAAAAAAAAAAATTTTTTTTTAGAAATTTTTTTGCTCTTTTTTGAAACAAGGTCTTCCTGTAGCCCCAGCTGGCCTTGAACTCACAGAGATCCGCCTGTCTCTGCCTCCCAAGTGCTTGGATTTAAAAAATTTTTGAGTGTGTTTCATCTAGTTTTCACATTTTAAAAACAACTAGGAGAAGGGATGGAGAGATGGCTCAGCAGTTAATAGCACAGGCTGCTCTTGCAGAGGACTCAGGTTCGGTTCCCAGCATCCAAAGAGCAACTAACAATAGTCTATAACTCCGGTTCCAGGGGATCCAATGCACACTTCTGACCTCTTCAGGCACCACATGCATATGGTGCACTTACATTTAGGCAAAACACTCACACATATAAAAATAAATGAATTTTTAAAAAGTAGGAGAAATAACCCGGGCGTGGTAGCGCACGCCTGTAGTCTCAGCACTTGGGAAGCAGAGGCAGGTGGATCTCTGTGAATTCAAGGCCTGCCTGGTCTACACAGTGAGTTCTAGGCTGGCTGGGGCTACAGGGAGACCCTGTTGCAAAAAGACCAAAAAAAAAAAAAAAAACAGGAGAAATAACATCTTTCTCTTTAAAGAACAGCCTTGTGAGTATATTCAAGTATTGCCTGGTGTGGTGCTTTGAATGATAATGTCTCCCATAGGCTCCAAGTATTTGAGCATTTTATTCCCAGTTGGTGGTGCTATTTTGGGAGGTCTTAGAAGGTGTGGCCATGCTGGAGGAAGCACTTCACTGGGTGTAGGCTTAGAGAGTTCTTAAGCCTTGCCAGATCTCCAGTTGCTCTCTGCTTCCTGTGCCTACTTGAAGATGTGAGCGCTTAGCTTCTGCTCTTACACCAGCCAGCTCTGTCACCATGCCTCCCCGACATGATGAACTCTTGCCCCTCTGGAACTACAAACTAAATAAACTCTTCCTTTTATAAGTTTCATTGGTCAGTGTTTCTATCACAGCAACAGAAAAGTAACTAATATACCTGCCATATGGATCAACAACATTTTTACATGGGTAATAAATGTTTAATAAATAGTTTCACCCCTGTGAAATTAATAAACTTGTAAGCAAGATATCAAATTTTAAGAAAAAGTACATTTAGTTCTCAGGGATTATGATTATTCAACAGAACTTCTTTCAGATGTTTCTGTTACTAGTATTCTATGATGTTAACATGTACATATATTTCTGTTTAACTTTTAATAAAATATGTGCAAGGTCAACACTTATTTGCATTTTTGTTTTATTATAGTTAAGTCTAAATTAGGTTTTTAAAACACATTTCTGCTCTTCTCTAAAATAATGGAAAACTCACTATGTCATACTGTAATAACCAACTTGACATGTGGAGAGTACTCTCCAACAGTACTGTGAAATGTTACTCAATGCAATATATAGAACAAAATGTACAGACATTCAACCAAACATTTCACAAAATGACAAGCTACCGTACTTTTAAGTATCCAAGTACTTTGAAACAAAAATGGAAAAGGAGGATATACCAAAGAAATGAGTGGATTTCAGACTGACTCATATCGTGTCATATTAAACAGACAACATAAAATTAAAACTTCAGCAAGGAATTGTAGTGCATGCCTTTATTCCCAGCAAGCACTGTGAGAGGCAGAGGCAGGTGGATCTCTGTGAGACTGAGGCCAGCCTGGTCTACTTAGCAAGTTCTAGGCCAGTGGGGGCTACAGAGAGACCCTGTTTCAAAACAAAGCAAAACAAAAACCCCAAACGAAAAGGAAGTATCTTATAAACAAATTTATAAAGTAAACCCAACTTTAAAGCAAAATTATACATAGAATATACAAATTTGGATGTATACGAAATTACTTACCTACTTCTTCCTCTTCGTCATTAGATATTATATTATATAGTGTGTCCAAAGCATAACCTATTATTTCAGAATCCGAACTGGAAAAAAGAAATTATTATACTTAACACACTGCTGGCTGGAATGTAAACTGGTATAATTTTAAAATAGTTTTTACAAGACCATTAAAATATTAATTCCTTTTCTAAAAATCTATTCTAAGACAGTATTAATATAAGGAATATGTAAACCAGGCATGGTGGCTCACACCTATAATCTCTGCGTTTGGGGGGCAGGAGGAGGAAGATGGCTGCAAGCTCTAGACTTGCCTGGGCTAAACACTGAGCTCTAGTCCAGTCTGGGTTACTAGACTCTGTTTTAAAAAATAAAAAAGGGTAAAAGGCTTATTTAGAATTGTAAAAATGTATAACTAACCAACCTGAATGGCCAACAAAAAAATAGCATATGTAAAACAATAATGAAAAAAAATTATCTAAAGATAATTGCTGGGCCTTGTAGCACACACCTTTAGTCCCAGAACTGGGGAAGCAGAGGCAGAAGCAGGTCTGTGAGTTCAAGGCCAATTTGGTCTACATAGTGAGTTCCAGGCCAGCTGTGGCTACAAGGGGATCCTGTCTTACAAAGGAGGGGAGGCACTCCGAAAACAAACTAGCAAAATCAGAACCACCTGGTTAATAGTATGTATGTGTATATTCACATATATTAACAGTTTTATCGTAGACTACATTCTCCACATTTTACCTTCTTAAAAGTCTTAAAGTAAAGAGGTATAACTTATCGTAACTGCACAAAACACAAACAAAACCCTCATAACTGTCCATATTGGTGAGAAACTGTTAAGCTTTCCCTCCAAAATCAGGAATATGTTGGCAATGAGCCCTCTTGCCACCTTTATCCAATACTGAAACAGAAGAGTAATAAAAACATACAAGAAAAATGGGGCTTGGGAGAGGGTTTGGCGGGCAAGAGCATTTGCTGTGCAAGCATGAGGACTTGAATTTGCATCTCCAGCACCCATATAAAAAGGTTGGGCAGAGAGTGGTGGGGCACGTATTTAATCCCAGCACTTGGGAGGCAGAGGAAAGTGGATCTCTGTCATTCAAGGCCAGCCTGGTCTACTAGTGAGTTCCAGGACAGCTGGGGCTACAGGGAGTACCTGTCTCAAAAAGAACCCCCCACCCCACCCCCCAAAAAAAAGCTGGGCAGGGCTGCATGTGCCTGTGAGCCCAGTAATTAGGAGTGGAGACGTGTGGATCTTAGGACATCAGTGTCAGGCAGCCTAACCTAAATGGCTAGCTTCGGGTTCAATGAGAGACCCAGTCTCAAGGCAACAAAGAAAATGATAGAGGAAGATACCCATGTCTGGTGTCTGCATGAATACACCCATAGGAATGCATGCACAAGATTATCAACAATGACTTATCTTGGGCACAGAATCCACTAAGAAACTACTAGAACTAATAATTTGCATTCAGCAGTCACCACTAAGAATTCACTAAGAAACTACTAGAACTAATAATTTGCATTCAGCAGTCACCAGATACATATTCAATATACAGAAATTAAGGGATCAGAAAATAAAATTATTTAAGTAATATCAAAGATAAATAAATAAAATATTTGGATTACATTTTCCTAAAAAAAAGCCTAGGACTTGTATGCTGATAAATAAAATTACTGAAAGAAATTACTCAAGAACCAAACAAACTGGTGGCACATGCCTTTAATCCCAGCACTTGGAAGGCAGAGGTAGATCTCTGAGTTCAAGGCCAGCCTCGTCTACATAGCAAGTTCCAGGTCAGCTGGGGCTTCAGGGAGACAGGAACGAAAAAAAAAGGTATCTGTGTTCCTACAAAGGTACTACTGTTAAGATGGCAATGTACTTCAACTTACTTTACAGGTCTCACACAATCTATATCAAAAGCCTACCTCTTACAGACATCAATAATGAACCATAAAAAGTTACACAGAAAGCAAGGGATCCAGACTAGCCAAAATAATATTGAAGAAGAACAGAGCTGAAGCTGGGCATGGTGGCACACACTTTAATCCCAGCACTTAGGAGGTAGAGGCAGGTGGATCTCTGTGAATTCAAGGCCAGCAGGATCTACACAGTGACTTCTAGGCCAGCCAAGGTTCTATAGTATGAACCTGTCTCAAAACCAAAAACAAGTAAGCCAAAGAACAGAGACTCATAGTTCTGGTTTTAAAACTAACTACAGAGACTAAAGAGTGGTTAAGGGCACTTACTGCTCTTTTAGAGAACCCAAGTTCTGTTCCCAGCAACCATGTCAGAAGACTCACTACCACCTTTAACTCTAGGTCTAGGTGATTCAATGCCCTTTTCTGAACCCTGTGGGTACAATACATGTAGAAGACACACACCCACAGGCATACACACACAAATAAAAATTTAAAAATAGGGGATGGAGGCTGGGCGTGGTGGTGCACGCTTTTAATCCCAGCACTCGGGAGGCAGAGGCAGGTGGATCTCTGCGAGTTCGAGGCCAGCCTGGTCTACATAGTGAGTTCCAGGCCAGCTGGGGCTACAAGGAGACCCTGTCTCAAAAAGACCAAAAAAAAAAAAAAAAAAAATGGGGGATGGAAAATGGCCCAGTGGTTAAGAACACTGTCTGCTTTTGCAGAGGACCCAGGTTTGGCTTCCAGCACCCAGTGTGGGTAACAATTGTCTGTAATTCCAGTTCCAGGAGATCCAATGCCCTCTCCTGGTCTCCGTGGGCACTGTATGACACAGATGCACTTACATACATGCAGGTAAAACAATCATACACATAAAAAATGAATTAAAAAAATAAAAAATAAAATCTTAAAAAACAAAAAAAAGGGGCTGGAGAGATGGCCCAGTGGTTAAGAACACTGTTTGTTCTTGCAGAAGACCCAGGTTTGAATCTCAGCACCCACATGGCAGCTAACAACTGTCCATTTCTCCAGTCCCAGGGGATCTGATAGCCTCTTCTGACATCTGCAGGCATTGCACGGCACAGGTATACTTACCTGATGCAGGCAATACACGCATACACATAAAATAAAAAAGTAATAATAGATTAAAAAAAAAAAAAAACCTAACTATATGACTGGGCATGGTGGCACATACCTTTAATCCCAGTACTCAGGAGGCAGAGGCAGACAGATCTCTGTGGGATCAAAGCCAGCCTAGCCCAATAGTACAGGCTAGCTGGGGCTACAGGAGACCCTATTTCGAAACAAAAACAGAAACAAAGCAAAACAAAACCCCACCAAACACCTAACTATACTGTTATAGTAATTAAGACTACTAGCAAGGTATATCAGTGTATACCTATAATTTCAGCACTTGGGAAGTGGAAGTAGGAGGTTCTAATAGTTCAAGGCCAGCCTCTGCAACTCTATGAGTTTGAGGCCAGCCTGGGATTACATGGGATCCTATCACAAACAAACAAACAAACAAACAAACAAAGACTAGGGCTAAGGATGTTGCTCAGTGCCCAATGGTAGAGCAAGCTGAGGTCCAGGGTTCAATTCTCAGCACATGAAAAGACAAACAGAACCAGAAAAACTTATAGTAAACTGAGGTAAGAACAGACATATAGGTCAAGTGAGTACAATGGAAAATCCATGGGAAAGATCAAAGTTGAATTCCTCTATAATTTCTTATTCAAAAGGAATGCAAAATGTATGAAAGACTGCTCACTTTGGTGGCACATATACTAAAACTGAAGCAATATGTTACCTATGCAAGAATGACATTCAAATCTAGGAAGTGCTCCATTTTAAAAACATGGACAGTGCCTGAGAAACACTATTCAAAGTTGTTCTTTCACACACACACACACACACACACACACACACACAGAGGATGAAAGACCTAAATATAAGAGTTAAAGCTATTAAAAAATATTAGAAAAGCCAGGTGTGGTAGCAACATGCCTTTAATCCCAAAACTTGAGAGGCAGAGGTAGGTGGATCTCTCTGAGTTCAAGGTTATAGCCCAGTCTACATAGCTAGTTCCAGGCCAGCTGGGGCTACAGGAAACCCTGTCTCAAAAAAACAAAAAACAAACAAACAAACAAAAAAAAACCCAAATATTTTCAGATAACTTGATGCCCAAGCAATCAAACATAAACCAGATAAACTGGACTCAATCAAAATTAAAAACTTCAGGTACATCAAAGGGTACCATCAAAAAAGTAAAAAGAAAATCTACCACAGAATTTTAAAAAAAGCATTTACAAATCATAGATCTGAAAAAGAACTTCTATCCAGAGAATTATAAACAACTTGGGGTTGGAGAGATGGCTCAGGGGTTAAGAGCACTGGCTACTCTCGCAAAGGACCCATGTTCGGTTCCCAGCACCCACATGGAGGCTAACAACTGTCCTTAACTCCAGTTCCAGGGGATCCAATGTCCCTTTCTGGCCTCCAAGGGCACCAGGCATGCATGTGATGCACTTAAATACATGCAGGGAAAACACTCATAAATATAAAATAAAATAAATAAAAAATAAAGAACTACTATAATAGTAGATGAATAAACCAATATAATAAGCAGAGACTAAGAGAATTCTCAATGAAAGTTCTATAAATGGACTATATGCATATGAAGAGACATTCAACATCAGTAGTCATTAGGATAATGCAAATCAAAACCACAATCAAAAAGTGAAATTAAGAAATACCCCTATATGCCTACCAGAGAGGTCATGAAAAAAGACAGTAACTAGTATTGGCAAGAATGTGAGAAAATTGGATCTTCATATATTGCTGGCGGAAATGTAAAATAGTGCAACTACTATGGAACACAGCCTGGCAATTCCTCAAAAACTTAAACAGAAGTTTATCACATGACCCAAAAATTACACTTGTAGATACATACTCAAGAGAACTCCAAATGCATGTTTACATAAAAGCTGGTACACAAACACTCATTGCAGTACTATTCAAAATAGCCACAAAACAGAAAAAACAAATGTTTGGCTATCAACTGATGGAGACATGAAACAGAGAAAACATATTATGTATGTGTACAATGGAATATTCAGTCATAAAAAGCTGATACATGGTGCAGCACTGATATATTATGCTAAGGGAATAAAGTCACAAAAGCCCTAGAATGTCTGATTCACTTAGCTGCAATACTAAAACAGTACGGTATGGAGAGATTAAGTAGATTAGTGATGGCTGGGTGTGGTGGTGCACCCCTTTAATCCCAGCACTTGGGAGGCAGACCAAAAAAAATAAAGTAGATTAGTGTTGCTAGGTACTGGAGGAAGGAGAGAAAGAAGATAGAGGCTTTCTTTTTAATGTGATGCAAGTGTTCTGAAATTAGGCAGTGGGGATGGTTGTATCATTTGGTGAATATATCCTAAAATGACTGAAATATATATATTTTAGGGAGCACACTTTATTTTTTTATTTTATTTTTATTTTTTTGTCTTTTTGAGACGGGGACTTCCTGTAGTCCCAGCTAGTCTGGAACTCACTATGTAGACCAAGCTGTCCTTGAACTCACAGAGATAGCCTGCCTCTGTCTCCCAAGTGCTGGGATTAAAGACATTCACCACCACACCTGGCCACTGTTTTTATAAAAAACAAAAAACAAAGTCTCCCTATAGCTGCAGCTGGCCTGGAACTCACTATATAGTCCAGGCTTGCCTCAATCTCACAGAGATCTGCCTGCCTCTACCTCCTAAATGCTGGGATTAAGGGCCTGCACCACCACACCCAGCTCATTAGCAGAATTCTGAATGTTAGGTACATGGGTTAACTATTATATTGACAATGAGCAAACAGAAAGAGAGATGGCTGCAGAAACAGACCCTAGCATTCAATCAAACTTTTAAAAATCTTCTCAGAGTATCAGGCATGGTGGTATACATCTTCAATCCCAGCACTTGGCAGGCAGAGACAGGCAGATCTCTGTAAATTCAAGGCCAGCCTGGTCTACATAACAAGTTTCGGCCAGCTGGAGTTAAGGGAGACCCTCTCAAAAAGACCAAAAAAACAAAATAAAATAAATAAATGCCGGGCGTGGTGGCACACTCCTGTAGTCCCAGCACTTGGGAGGCAGAGGCAGGCAGATCTCTGTGAGTTCAAGGCCAGCCTGGTCTACACAGT